CCTATGAGGAATGACGGAAGGAGTGGGACTGTTCAGTTTGAGGAGGAGAAGGCTGAGGGGAGACCGCATCACTCTCTACAGCTACCTGAAAGGACATTGTAGAGAGTTTGGTGCTGGTGATTAGTGACAGAGCAAGAGAAAATGGCTTTAAACTCCAACAGGGGAGGTTTAGACTGGACATTAGGAACAAATTTTTCACAGAAAGAATGGTCAGACAGTGGAATGGGCTGCCCAGGGAGGGGGTGGAGTCACCATCCCTGGATGTGTTTAAGGGTCGTTTAGATGAGATGCTGGGGGACATGGTGTAGGGGAGAAATTTGTAGAGTAGGGCTGATGGTTGGACTCGATGATCCCAAGGGTCTTTTCCAACCTGAATGATTCTATGATTCTATTTGATAAAACAAGTAAGAACAAAACCCAAAACCAATGTCCCCCTGCTACCAAGAAACTGTCATACCTCCCCATTCATGAAGAGCTGCTTAACAGTAGGAGGATTTCCTTCCTGTCCTTCTTCCAGAGGAGAAACTCTTTCAAACAGCTCACAGGCATTTATAAGGACCTGGCACATCATATATAGCTGCTGCTCAATAATTTACTAAACTGCAGTGAAAGTGGGAGTTGTGTGACTTTTTCAATCTCACATTCATAATCCTAACCAATATGTCAAATTTCCCCCATGCTCATGGCATGATGGGCAAAGCTATTGTATAGAAGGACAAACTGTACTACTTGTAAAAATTGTACTATTTCTAAAAACTGTACTTCTCATATACATCAGTTGTTTTCATGAACGCTTTACACTAGTAGATATTAGTACGTACTAATTAAATTTTAATTTGTTCTTTTACAATACAAAGCATTAATTACATCAGTGTGTAGAGACAAAAACTACCACGTTTCAGTCGATTTTGGCTTCAAGCTATAAAGTAGAAATTGCTGTCAAAAAGGAAACCATAAATTTTATCTACAAATGCTACTTTAAGTGCCAAAGAACTAAATTTTTAGGTAAACTTTTAGGCTACAGCTTAACTGCTGTTGTAGGGAAAAAGCCTCTACACAAATCTGAAGCTGAACAAATAAATGTAACTGCCTGCTGTTCAGAGACTGAAAATCTACCTGATACCCTTTCTAAGTATTTATGCATGAGTAAACTCATTTTTGCAGAAGACATAGAAATGGTTTTATTCTGCAATTCATCTGCTGTTACAGAGGAAAAGCTGTCACAGTAACAGCCATTTGCAACGCCCAACATACACAGGTTGTGTACTTCATTTAAGTTCATGCTTATATGAACAAGAGCTTGTCTTTTTATTAAAATCATGCTATCATGGTTTCAACAGTGGCAGTGATGGACAGAACCCATCATAACCCATTCCAAACTGTTCCAACAGGTAATTATCCTGTCAGCAATCATGTCCCACTTTTGTCTTTGCCTAATGTTGAGTTGCAGTTATTCAAGTTCATTAAACACCTATATGCTGGATGGAAGGACTATCCACCATCACATCATTTTGCAATGTAGTTTCTTTTAGACCATGAAAACAATGATCGTTTAAAATCCTTCTCAGCATTTCATTTAAATAATTTGCTAATCCTTCCATTGTTACCATAATTTTGTCACCCCTAACTTGCTATCATTTTTCTCCAAATCTTTAACACAGAATTTAACACAGCACTGTATCAAGGGGCCAAATCATATACATCCCTTTTGCCATAACATTGAAAATCTGCTTATTTATTTACACATTCATTTCTTTTAAGAAAGTCATTAGTGCTTCAGAGAATTTTTTCTCTGCTTATCTTCCAAAATATCCTTACAGTAGGACCAGTGGTTCTCTATCAGGTAAGTCAGGAGTTAAGTCAGAGACCAACTGAACTAACATAGGCTAAGACGGAGCCTGTTTCCTGCAAGGCCAGGCAGAACAGTTCCACTGTGACAGAGTGGGTGCAATATGGAACAGAGTCCAAAAGTTGTCCAAGTAGCTCTTGGCTTTGCTAGACAGGTCCATGTGGGGAAGATGATGGCAACCCCTGGAGGTACCCAGCTTTATGTGGCAGGAGACAGACAAAGTAAAGCTTGTGACATTGCTGGTTTTCTCAAGTGAAGCGTAGCTGTCAAAGGACTGGAAATCATGGTATTATACTATGTTAGAATGCATACATTTTGTTTATAGTTGATTATCACAAAATGCAAACTGGTTTATATACATTATATACATGTCCACTTCCACACTCCTCAGATACAAGGATTGACAACTTTCCATTTATATTTTGAGACAGACATATTACCTCATTTGAGAATCTGTTTATCATGTGTTGTGTTAATTTCCACATTTCAATTTCTTGATTAAAATGTGGTGCTGCAGCGTGATATCTTACGGAAGTCAGTCTATTACTTTACTAATTTTACCTTCATCAGCCAGCTGGTAATCTCATCACAGAAGACAAGTACCTAGTTTTCAACCTCTGGTTTCTGCACCTTTACAAAAACCAGAATTAACCATTCTTTTTCCTTTTCTTAATATTTTTCTTCACTGAGTCCTGTTCCAATATTTGCATCAGATCGACAGCAGACTGATACACCCATAACCAAATGTGACATTTAATTTACTTTTTCTTTTGGCAAATATTAGCAGCTTTTTTCCAAATACAATGGGATGCCCTCAGTGCCCCAAAAATTCTAAGAAACACTCCCCCACAATTATTGATAGCCAAGAAAATTTGACAGGCAGCTTTTTAAACTCTGCATGTCAACATACCCTGGCTGACTAATTTAAAATGCCTACATTTCACAGCTGCTGTTTCATGTCCACCCTAGTTGCTAGAATGGAAGTACATTATAATACAATGACATCTAGTTTTCCCCCCTAAACACAGACCAAAAGCACTAAACACGGCTGTCTTTTGAATTACTACTGATTTTTTTATAACTGCACAATAACAGCTGCATATATATTCCCAACTGACTTTAAGACTGGTCGTTGGCCTTCTACCTCATGGGCTGAGATTGCCTGCATTTATAATGTGTGGCTTTCTTCACCCATCTCCTGCAGTTCCAACTTTTCTTTTATGACAACCAGCAAGAGCTTCTCACGTTTTAAGTTTTGGACATGCACACATACAAATGCATCTGCCTTCACTTTCTTTCAAAGCAATTTTAAATTATCATCTTCTCTCTTGATTGTGGCTTTCACCAATATCTACTAAAACATTCTCAAAAATCCTTCCATTCTTATTAACTCCTGCAACCAACACAATGACATTCCAAATCCAAAAGGAAAAGAAATGTAAAGTTGGACTAAGAGATAGGAAAACTACAGATAAGCAGAAGAAAACCAAACATCATCTGTATTACCTTTTACGCCTTACAGTCCTTGATGCTCGGTGTAGCTATGAGTTTCATTATCCTCTCATACCACTCACCTCTGAATCACTGTCTTCAGAGACAGTCTGCTTCAGACCTCTTTTTGCATGTGAAAATTCTAGACCACACTAAGATATTCAGCTCCTAATTGTGTTTTTTCTGTTGTTCATGGAAAGAGAAAGGTCTGCACACAGGAAGAGTATCAATTCATTCAAGTGATAGTCATTGTGCAGGTTCAAGAATGCCATTACCTTGAAAAATTAGAGTGTGTTACACAAAGAATAAAGTTTATAGTCTTCATATTATGTGCAGATTTGCACTTGAAAGCACTGTCTAGTCATGATTAAAATCCTGAGCATTGTATTCCTCAAAGGCAACACAAGGCACATTTTTGTTTACAACTCAAATAAAAATACAGTTGCTATTTTTTTCCTATAACATTGATCAGTCCAGTCCCTCATGATTGCCAGAGTAGAGCAGTGGGGGGTTGTTTTCATTTTTGAATACATATGTCTGTCTCAGAACTCACACTGAGCTAATTAAGTCCTACTGATGCTAGCAAAAGAAACAACACTTTCCACTTCCCTTTCCTTTTTACTTAAAGTATTTCTCCCTACGTTATCTGAACTGACCAAATACTACTTGAAAGCAAATATTTCTGAATAGTGTAGTACTATACGAAAGAATTTATTTCCATAATTGCAACTTTATACATTTATCTGAAGCTCTTCCTACTTTATATTATATTAGAAACCCCTCAGAAAACAGGTTGATATGAATTACAAAGCTGAATGCCACTGGTATCAGGGTCTGGAACACTTCTGGTTCCCAGTATGCACAGTAAACAGTTGTAATAAGTTGTCATCTTGGTTACTCTTACCTATGGTGGAAATACAAAGTTCCAGTGAGAGAACCCCAGCAAACTTTGCAGATCTGAAGACAAGTTTATAATAGCTATATGGCAAGCGCCAATGAAGTTCTAAAACGCTGTTAGCATTTGTTCTGCATATTCCTACTAGTCAGCCAAAATATGCTGAAATTTCTATGGCTCGCTGTTAAATATCTTGTATTGTAGCATGGGCACTTGCTGTACCCCGTAAGTCTCTAGTCCTGGAAAAACTAGTCAAGTTTCATGAACACTTTCATGAGGCCAAAAATTCACTGACAAATTAAAATTAATTCTGCTATAAATACATTTTTATTCCATTTGTGCACGTGGGTCTTTTTATAGCCATTACACGTCCTTTCTTTCCCTTTTTAAACACTGCTGAAACTGTCAGGAACTACATTTTACATTTTAGCAATCATTGCATACACATCATGATTCCTAGAATTTAAAATGGAATTGTTGAGGGTTCAGATACTGTTAGACTGTCATTAGTTCTGCAAAGTATGTAATTTGTCATTTTGGAAGAAATGACAGTACCATCGCTTGTGCAACATGCTTTTAAACTTCCCCTCTCTAACTCAAAAATGGCAGTATTATATCTGCTTCAAGAGAGACACTTCTAATGCTTGCAGGTTGGCTTGTCATAGAGCAATTTGGCAGGTACTATTCTGTCTTCATTAAGGATTATTCACATAAAGTGATTGGCCTGTCCGTGATATTCCCTAAAGACAATACATTCTGTCTTACCTGATTGTAATGAGGCCTGTGTTAAATTTTCACTTTCCTCATCAGTGCTGCCATCATAGTCATTTTCTCTCACTGTAGCCGTCTGAGTGGTAAAAAAAAAAAAAAAAAAAAAAAAGGAAAAGCAAATACATCAAATACATCTTTTCCATATATTATTCCTTCAAAGAATTTATAATTATTTCTGCACTGTCTTAGAGGCAGTGTAAACTGATACAAGCCAACATAAATTCCCCATGCAGAACAACTTAGCACATTCATAGACAAGAACAGACAATAAAAGGTCAGCTAATGTATAAAAAAGCAGGATAAAAATGGCAAACAAATTAAGGTGTGTTGTAGTATTAGAATGATTCCTTTTTATTTCAAAATTATCTAGAGAAAAGTACATAAAAACATTTAGATTTTGATATTTTTGTTTTCCAAAGGACTAAAGGAATCAAATAATACAGAAAGAATGCATGTGAAAGTAACACCTATGGAAATGCCAGAATCATACTTTGATTGAAGGATCAACTGCAATCTAACAGAAAAAAAAAGAGGACAGATTCTAGCTGCATCCAAAGGAATGTGGTGCTATATTCAATGACGTCACAAAGAATCCTCTGCTTTCATGACTAACAGTATTGTTCTGGATAACCAAGCACTTAGCCAGGAAGAACTGTCACTCACTGATAGAGCCAAAAAAATGGAAACTAAACTAAAACATGCATCAGGTATGATATCAAGTAACTCTGGAAAATTAAAAATACCTTGTGCATGTGGCATCTGCTACTGATTCTTTAGCTTCGTTCAGTAACTTCTGTAAGTTTCTTATCTTGGCCTTCTTTTCATTCAGCACCAAAATAAACCGGTTATAAAGATCCACCTCTAGTTCTTCTTTAGCTTCCACACATTTTTCCAGCCTACAATGTAAAATTAAATGTTACACTATTTCTTTCTAAAAAAAAAATCTGTGTTTCCTGGAAGAAAATTCTGTAGTGAGGCCAGTGTTCCTATTGCAGGAATCCCCATACCAAACCACATATGACTAGTGAAGCATCTCGTGTCTGAAACAGGACAGAAGAAGCCTTTTTTTCACAGAAAAGTGCAATGAACTTTGCTACTAAAAAGGAAAACTTTCCAAGGGGAAAATTTTCTCTTTGTCCTTTTTTTTGATAGGCTCTTGAAAACATGTATCTATGACAATTAAAATTTAAATAGGCAAGATTTCTTTAGTTTTAATGCTGAATTCACCATAGTGGGCAGGACTCACACATCGAGATTACAAATAGGTATGATTAAGCTTGATAGGTCCCAAATCTGGACCCTACACGATGACTTCAATGTCATACATGATGTTCAAATATATTTGAACAGAAAAAAAAAAGAAACAAGAAATAGGCGATACCACTCCAACACAGGCTGATGTGACTATCAAATACTTTGGGCGACCAGGACAGCTCCAGAACCTTTTCCTGGCCAGGACTCCCCTTGCAGGTTCTGTTCTGGTGAGCTGGCAAGGTACAAAAGCTAGTTCCTGGCAACACACAAGAGGACACTGCAGCAACACCTGACGGCAACTGTAATCTCTTACAGGCATTCAGACATACAATGCTAATAACTCCAGTGCCATGGACTCCATTTCAAATTACACAGACACAGGGCTGAGATCTTGGTACACTCACAGCCACCACTGAGCAGATTTTTTTTTTTTCCCCTCCCCCCTGAAGTAATCACATTTACTTGGTAGAGGACAAAACACTATATATATATA